TGTTTAGATGGTTTATTTCCACAATTTTTCGATATATTTCAGTTTTTTTTGGCAGCACATTGAAATCCCAAATACAGCATACTCAACCCTATAGTTTTATGCTGATTTTGCTTATTTTCGTCCAGACACGGCTTTTAATTAAGTTGTATGTCTTCCGGTGGAATATATTATTGAATGCTTACACATGCAAACTTGAAGATCTCAGTTTTAAAGCACTATTTGTGATGTCTTGCATAACTGTAAAAATGGTCTTCTATTCCATAGCACGTTTCAATCTCTCATCTCCATACCAAGAACGCAGTGTGCGATTTGATACGTGTTACGGCGGTTCATGTTAGAGACCAACACATGTTATTACCGCTTGAGAGTTTTTGCTCTTGTGCGGTTCCAGTATCTCAGTTTGAGCTCACGCTCCTCGACTCTGATTATAAAATGATACGGACAGAATAGAGGCAACCGCCCATTACACGTTCTCACATAATTCATTCAAATAGGACCAGCGGGAAAAAGTACGCACAGTACTCTCAGGTATGCTGAGGTACTCACGGACTCGTCTGGCTCAGCTTTAGGCAAGTCAAAGAGGAAAATACAGACTGCAGTAAAAAACATGGCAATGTCAAGTTAACTCAGCATGTTATGTTAGTCAAACAGGCCCATACAATTAGTCCCTAGTTCCCACCCATGACAACGTTGCGATCTAGAAATTTCACCCCCGCCCCCTCGACAGTACCGATCATCTTGGAACGTTGCTATAGTCAAGCATGGCACGCCAGCGGACACCTCCCGCAAAGGCATATCTCCCTACGTCCGTTGCAAATGTTAAATGAGCAGCGAATTTAATTTTTTTGTCGTTTCTTGCTGTAGCTCCGCCTCTCCAATCGATTTCTAAGCGGTGCTTTCCAGGTTCTAGAGACCGACCGATAGGTGGACCGACATAAACGAGTGACATGGTTTTTTGTGATATATAATTAAGTTATCTATAATATTCAAAAAATATTAGCATTTTCGAAATTTTTCGCAATGCAATATTCCCTGGACAATTGGCGTAAAGTAAAAGAATTGGCTAAAAGCGCTCACAGTTCATTTGCTAAGAAATTTCAAGTAGCGCTCTGTCACATGTAGCTTATTTATGAATATTTTTGATGTTCTTGACTTTTGATCCGAAAACGAAAGTTTGAAACTTCTCAGTGACAGCAATTTTGCTCCAGCTAGTGGCGCTAGTGCGTCTGGAGGTTAAAGTGCCAAAGAAACAAATCGTGTTGCATTATGGTATGTGTTTGGCAACTCTGTGTAGCCTATGCCCAATTTTGACAAATTTTGATAGATAAAAGATAATCGGTCTATAATTTTAGACATGACTGCAAACCTAACTAAAGTCATCTACTCCTAGCTTTTCAGATTACCCTCCATTTGCAACATTCAGTGGTGTCTATGTCTTTTACTGTATTTACATCAACGTTTCTAGCAACGATTTTTGTATGAGATAAACAAACCTATGCGGCGCGGGATGGAAATGTCTTGCAGACATCGTGAACTAACAACAAATCGATCAGGTCGCTATTACACTAGAAATGTGCCGTTTTCGGGTTCTTCAAGTTGGATTTACTAACCAACATTTCGTTATACTTATATGGCGCGCGGTGCCTGGGTTGGACACTGAAGTGCCTCCTCTCCTATCGTTTCACCTATTTTTTTGTTGGTGGCTTTTTTTTTATATCGAAACAGCCGCGCAGGCAGAAGCCTAAATGCCGGAACACCGCGGCTGCTATGATGATCCCAAAGAAATTTTGTTAATACGATTTTTGAACTGCCTATGGTTAGTAGAACTGGGAAAAGCCTCCTCCCGTAGACTGTTCCACAATCTAGACACCCTCGGGACAAAGGAGCGGTCGTATCGGCCAGTTCTGGATGTACGAAGTTTGACACGGTTAGGATGGGACGCCGAAGTCAGGCGGGTCTGTCTGGCAGGCACATCGCGCGGCGGCATCATGGAAGAGAGCTCTGAGGAGCAAAGCCCGTTGGTGTAGCGATAGAAAAGAGCTAGATCGCCGACGGCCCGCCGGTGCGAGAGAGTCCCGAGACTGTCTGTTAGAGAAGAGTCATCGATCAGTCGGATCGCCCTCCTCTGGACAGCATCGAGCATGGACAATGTAGTCGGGGCGGCAGCACCCCAAATGTGTGAGCAATACTCGAGGCTAGGCCTTATCTGGGCCTTGTATAGAGTGAGAAGGTCATGCGGAGAAAAGTACTTCTTAGCCCTAAACAAATAGCCTAGCTTTTTCCCAGCAGCTGCAGCTATTGAAGAGATGTGTTCGTGCCAGATCAGGTCCTCGGTGATCTGGACTCCGACCAGCCGAAATGAATGGCTCTTTGGTAGAACTCGACCGTCCACCGAAACTGTATGAGCGCTAGGACGCTTTTTGTTCGTCAAAGTACAGTACTGTGTTTTGAAAGCATTGAACTGTACATGATTGTTGCGTCCCCAAGCAGTGATAGCCTCCAGGTCTCTTGTCAGAGAAGAATTCGTCGCTAGCCTCCTTTTTTCCAGCTCAGTGGCAGAGATCGGCTTGTCACTCTGAATTCCTGCATGTCATCAGCGAAGCTGTGGATTGGGTTGATCGTGCAGGAAAGGAGGTCGTTGATATGTAAGAGAAACAGTGTTGGAGCCAAGACCAATCCCTGGGGAACACCCGCGTTGACGTTGTGGGATGTAGAGGAGAACCCGTCAATTACGACGGATATCTTGCGGCCAGAGATAAAGTCAGCCACCCATCTGAAAAGCTTTTCTGGGAGGCCATAGGATGGAAGTTTGCTTAAGAGGGCAGCGTGCCACAGCTGGTCGAACGCTTTCGTGATGTCAAGAGCAACGACATGAGCCTCACCATGAGACTGGATGAGTTTACTCCACAGTTGCGTGACGTAAGCTAGGAGGTCCCCTGTGGATCGTTGGTTCCGGAAACCGTACTGCCTGTCGCTAATCAAGCTGTGACGTTCGAGGTAGTCCAGAAGCTCGCGATTTATGCACCTCTCCATCACTTTGCTTATAACAGAAAGCAGAGCTATAGGCCTGTAGTTGTAAGGGTCGGTTTTAGATCCTTTTTTTGGGATGGGCTGTACATGAGCAAATTTCCAGTTTTCTGGGAAGGTGCCGGATTCATAAGATATCTGGAAGAGACGCGAAAGAACTGGAGCAAGCTCTGCTGCACATCTCTTCAGTACAATGGCAGGAATCAAGTCCGGACCAGAAGCTTTGTTGATGTCGAGCGACAAGAGCACTCGTCTTACGGTCTTATGCCTGAATGTTACCTCCCTCATAGTGTGGGGAACCCTTTGAATTGACGGCACTTGGGCGTTGGTGGGGACGTCCATGGTGGAGTTGGCAGCAAAGCTCTTGGCTAGCACTTCCGTCTTGGCCTTTGAGTCGAATACAATAGTTCCATCCTGACACGTAAGTGGTGGAAGGCTACTGTGTGAGAAGTTCTTTTCAATCTGCTTGGCCAGCGTCCAGAAAGACCGACTGCCATTGCTCTGCGACATTACCCTGTTCCTAACTTTTGTATCATGCTGGTTTTGGCATTGCGAACCGCTTCGTTATATTTGTTTCTGGACTCGACGTCGGCTGAAGCAGCAATACGTATAAGAGACCAAGGCAAAGAATGGTTAAGACAAGTGAACAGATGAATTTCGAGCATAGTGTCTGGATGCAGGTAGTGGAAGTTATTCCTGGATCCATGCCCGAAAATGGCAACGGGATTGCTAAATGATAAGGAGGAATAAACTACATATAGTTACATAACTTCTGACGGGTCAAGGAAAAATCTAATTTGACTGTACTAACACAATCGTGTGTATGTGTGTATGTAAACAGCGCGTGAAGATAGGTAGACATTAAAATCGAATTTGCAGTGTGTAATCTTACAATTGTGGATGGAGAGGTGATGTGTGCGAGTCAAGATTGCTTTTTGATTCGTATAGTTCTTGGATAATTTATTCGTCTACGATCAATTTTCCATTTTTGTTTCTCACTCGAATAGGGGTGTAATTTAATCTTCACATTGTGATCGGTATCAATTTCAATACAGTGAAAAAGTATTTATGTTAAGCTCATAATTTTGGTTTGAAATTTTGCTCGAGTCCATAGTCATAGAAGGTCTTGGTCTTGAGTTTACAGGGTGTTTCTTAACTACGGTGGGTGACTCAGTATGACGTTATAAGAAAAAAAAAGTTCATATCAACATATGTCCAGAGTTGCTCCGTTTCTGAGATACAGGGCGATGAAGTTTAAAAAATAAACGGTATTTGTAAAGTATAATTATCCTTAAACCGATTTGGTTGAAATTTGATGCAGTTATTTTAAGTGATAAGGAGCTTATTTAGCTCTAACTAGAATGAAATTATTAGGTTCACTGGCGTGTCAGTGGGCACCACAGCCATATTATTGAGAAAAAAGTAGGCCAATTACTTATTTGTAGTTTTTATTTTTGTTTAGAATAAGCAACCAAAAATATAACTGTTTTCCTCTTTTTTTTTCATATCTTGTTAACTATGGAAATAAATATTCAACTAGGTTGTCCTTGGATAGATTTTGGAACAAGTTATTTTTATTTTATATCGAAAAATAAGCTAGTACGAAGAAAACGCAAGAGGTCAAAAAGTTGTTGTTTAGTGGCCTAATCTAAAAAGTACACAGAAAAATTCATTGGCGTAGTTTTTTTCTCAAAATAACCTATTTCAAAAATATGAACTTTTTTTTCCTTAAAACGACCTAACGAATCAGTCTCTGAAGTGAAAGCACCTTTGAAAAGAAAACAAGGGGCTCCATTTACTCAATTCTTGATCGGTAGCTTTGTCATAGCGTCGAAAACACCTGTAGGCCTCCTTGTTTTTGGTGATACTGTCTTATCTTTTAAAACATCAATATGCGCATTTGGCGTTTGTACCGCTGGAGGTTCATTTTCGTTCTGCATAACAAGAAAAATGTATATTTTGTTTTATTACAGGCAAGGTTGAGCCCCACACATCTTCATTCAACATGGGATACCTCGTGTCACCCTACAGCTACGCCAATGGAGCAGGAGGACCTATCCCAGTCTCAATGGTAAGATAACTTTCCATATTCTTGTCTAAGTCTCTGTTTTTTTGGTTTTAAATTGATTCTTTTTTTGAATTATTCATCCGATTTTTCGATACAGTATCAGAAGTATACAGCACGTACCCTTTACAGATGAACAGAATTTATCAAACTGTAGATTCTAATGTGTCTCTACCGTGCCTCTATGCAATGAATTCGAGACCTTAAACATTACGCTGAATTTTCGGGAGAATTTCTATGATCTTGAAGGCTCGGCTCACGATGCGAGAGGCTGCCGTGCGGAACCGTATCGAGTGGCTGACGCTGTGTAATCGTTTGCGGCGTACACATAATAATACGGATGCGCGTTATATACAGGGTGTTTCAGAACTAAGGGGTCAAACTTCTAGGGGTTATTCAGTGTAATAGCACAACTCAGGCGATATGGAATGCAGCAACAAAAAACAATCTTTGTTATCGTTTTTAAAGATAACAACACACAAGTGCCGGATATCGGTCCCTATACTCAAATGTTTTCTGCTGTACACTGAATAACCCCTACAAGTTTCATCCTATAGTTCTGAAACACCATGTATATGTTACATATGTTTAGTTTTTGATATCTTGCAACTCTGTTAGTGCTGTCGCGTATAATAAAGCTTTGTAGGTAGCGCGCAGAGAGAATAAATGAAGAGTATAAAGTAGACGCTGGCAAAGGCCTTGAAGGGGGCGTCAAGTGGAGTGCTAATAAGCCGACAGACACACACCACGCGTGATGCTGTTGTATCATGTCCCAGCGCTATACAGATGGCGAGCTTGCACCAGATAGCTATTTCGTTCATGTAGCTATGGATACTTTTATATTCGAACAAGTCTCTTAATGGTCTAACATATTCTCATGACGAGCGAACAGCACATTTAGATTATCGTTGAGAAACGACTGTTTGTCACCTTTCATGAAATTAAAGAAAAAACACTCGCACAAAATAGAGCGTCAAGTAGCTTGCCTGTCCTTCCAACCCAAGCGTATGGAAATAGAGTCAACCTACTTCTGATAGACTAAATATAATTGCAATGTTTTTTATTTTTGTTTTTATTTTTGTTTATATCATGTGAATCCATCTGTTTTAGTATCATCTAAATCAGAAGGGGTCCATTAACCGCTTTTAGGAAAATACCTAACTACGCAAACGTATAACAAAAGAATTAACTAATGTAGCATCCGCCTATTCTAAGACGCAAAAGTTAGTTGAAATAACTTATGGTACACTAATGCAAAATCAATGCCTCAAATATCCCTAACGCTGTCACTGAAATTTCCGTCAACCAGTGGTAAATTTGGCGGTATGGCCTTACCCGTACCTTTTCTGTCAAGGCGAGTCAATTTACTGCTATCATCGGACGGTCGCCAATGGTGAATATAACATTCAATACCAGCGCTTTCACATATGTATATATCTAATATATGAGTAGTATCGCTAGGATCAGAACCTTCTTAATAACATAGGCCGACAACATATTTCCCCAGACACCAGAGAATACCTTCCAGAAGGTTTTGCATACGAATCCGAACCCTGTTGTCCAAATCTCTCAATTGGCTCAAGTTTCCGAGATATCCTAATTTAAAAATTAAAAATAGAGATTTTTTACTATATTTGAGGTTATGTAGTATGAAAGTTTATTATTTTGGTTTTAGAAAAACCATAAACATCATTTCAAAGAACAAGTCTTGCCCTTTCAAATTCCGATGAGTTTGCTTAAATATATCTGTTTTTCATTGAGATGTTTAACTTTGGAATTTTCTTTGTTCTTAATTTTACTATATTTGATACTTACTCTACACGTTGTGTTTACGTTTCGATCAAAGTTGTGGTTTGAATTATAATACATCAAAAAGTCAGTAACAAGCTAATGTATTTGTAAAATGTAAGACCTGCAGACAAAAAACTTATAATTCCTCAACACTAAAAAATGAAATATCTTAAACGTATCCAAATCACAAGTGATCAAGTCACCTGACCTATCAGGCCTGAGTTTAACGTTCTAACTTCCGATTCTACACTTTTTTGAAGTAAGAATTACTTTCTTCTGATGAAAGCTAAACCGACTTGGATGATAAAAATTTCATAGTACCATATCTCAGGGAAAGAAAATTTAAGCAAACTCAAAGGCATTTGAAATGGCAATGCTTGTACTTTGAGATGATGTTTATGGTTTAAAAAAGAATTCGCTATATAATATACATAATTTAGGCAAAGCTCGTTAATTGGATCCATTTGAGGACGATTCAGCGCTTGAAAAACCTTCGGAAAAGTATATATACCCTGGTTTCTGGGTTAGAGGGCTGGCTCACTTGTCGGCCTGTGTAATAGAATGTATTTCGCTATTACGAAGCATGCACATAGCTCACTACTCATTACGACTCGCAACTCACAGTGTTTCACCTTTTCCAAAAACTCCAAAAATGAGCTGAAATGAGCCTCTGAAACGTCGAAAAATAAGTTTTGAGCGATTTTTATTCTTTTCGTTTTTGTTTATCGCTTCGTCACCACGAATCGACCTTAATAATCTGCAAAGCATTTTCGTCTTTGGTACACTATCAATCTTGTGTGAAAACATCAACATCCCAGCAGTACTTTCCAAGTTATAGAGGGATCAAGGATTAGCGCACAGACATACTGACATATAGACAGACAGGCCAATGCCAATGGACATGAGCGACATGGATTCTCTTAATGTCAACATGTCATGTAACATACAAAAAACATTTCATTTTCTAAATTTTTAGCTATTATAATACTTCCTCGTCAATTGGCGTGGGAAGTAAGAATATAAAAATAAATAATAAAATAAAAAATAAAACCGTTGTTTTATAGATTCTGACAATAGGTATGTATTGCTCCGAACGTTAATCTTCTAAAATTCTACCTAATACAGTGTCAATGTACTTTATATAACATTTGATCTGTACATACTACTCACCTTGCACAATCTCGACAGAAATCTACATGTACTAAGTTCACAAATTTCATTCAAGATTTTTACTGGCTGTTGACATTTTGATAGCATTTTTCTAATCTTTGATCCTCTTAACTGCTTTGATCTTTTATGAGCGCGAAAAATCTGGTTAGGCTAGCTGAGATTTGTATGTTACATTCCAAAAATCGATAAAAACCTAAAAATAGTTCTGGATGATTTATTTTTTTATAGAAGCCAATCCTTCTTCCAATTAACTTTAATTTTCTTTGTTCATAAGTAGGGTGACCATAATTTTTAAACAAAAAAAGTACACTTTTAAGAAAAATCACCACTGATTCTTTTTTGTCTAAATCTAACACATTTTTAATCGAACAAAATAAAGGTATTTATGTTTTATTATAATACAGATGCAGCAGCAATATAACAAAAGATTTAAAAAAAATAAGTACGTATAGTAAATATTTAAAAGTTAATTTTCCTTTTCCGGTGGCACAGAAGGTTGAAATTCAAATACGCAATACATCAGAAACACAAAAACAGTTATAATTATTTCGTTCATCAAACAAAAGTATATACATTTAGGTGTACTTGATAAACTTTTAGACGACAGTAGTACCGAGTTCGAAAAGAAACTACTGTCCTACTAAAGAAAAAAACGACAAACGGTCACCCTATTAATAAGGCGTTTCTAAAATATAGGGAGTTTGTGGTGGGATCCTTTGAGACTATTTTGTCGTATTTGAGGAGTTTCTAAAAATCTTTTCGGTTCGAAAATTAGCAGAATTTCCGAAAATTAGTTTCTAGGTACTAGCAACAATTACATGTGAAGTTGGCAAATTTCTTTATCTATAAGAACTGTTCATAACCACCTCCAAGTAGAATAAAGGTTCGAAGCTACACCGATGTTGTTTTTCATTGAAAGTATTTCACATGCATTGTTGCTACGTTTGAAATTACAAAGTTAATTTGCGGGAAATCAGCACCGAATACATAAAAAAAGAAATTGAAGAATAATACTCACCATTTATTTGGTACGGTATTTTAAGTGCTTCCCTGTTCTATGTTTTGTTTATACCTAATTACTCCTTAAAGTTGTCGCTGTAAAAAATACGAGTTTCTTTACTTCTTCATAAATTTGCAATATTTGGGGCTGTCTAGGTCTTCTGTCGTATTCACACAGGCTTTTGCACGATATAAACAAACGGAAGAGCTCTGATGGAAATTTTGAGGACGACGGCGGCGTTCTGAATACTCGAGTACACTAGCGGAGCATCAATAGAATCTTGAAGACGCTCATAGTAGACTAATATCAAATCGATAACTACGTCATTGCTGAACGATTGTGCCAATTTCTGTTTACAAATACAATTTTTTTATTAACTAGGTTTACCTACACACCGCACGGCGTCTGATTCGATACTAACTTATATAGTTTTAGTTCCACAAACCATCATACACTTTGATGTAGGAGGGGAGGGAGACAGGTTCGGAACCCAACATCTCGGTAATCTTAAGGTATTGGTATATGATTTACCAGGAAATTTTGCTTATTATTGTCCGGACTATATATTCTTTAAAGGAATGTCCCAACTTTGAGGACTACATAGAAAATAAGCCCCGAGATCAAGCAAACATCTACAGATGAGAGGTATATCAACAGCGTGTATCCTAGACGAGTGAGCCATCGAATTACTCCTATTCATTGTTTCACGTGATTACTACAGTCATCGTCGCGATACAGTTGGTGTACTGTTAAGCAGCATTGCTTGAAATTTATGAATTGATCTACTATAGCTTCATCCTGGGCATTTTAGCTAGAAGTATTCATCTAGACAGTGAAAGAGCATAGTAGAATTTTCTTTATAAACGGAATGGTATCGCTTTTAGCACCAAAAAGAACCAGCAAAGAGCAACCGAAACGTGTTCAAGCAGATAAATCATCCGCGAAATTAGCCCGTTGCATTAAAAAATATTTATGGCACGAGAAATGAATGTAAGAAGCCATAAATCGTACCAACGGGTATTAATAAAACCCACTAAATTTATGTCCACAATCTTTATCCCAG